TAGGCAGATTTGTATTCGACTATTGTAACCGACTAAACCACCTATATTCAGAATTACTTAATTTGGAAACTAATAGATTTTGGAGAGGTGTATTCTCGAAAACTTTAAGCTCTGAATACAACTAATGTGTCCATTGCATACAAGTCTGCATTACCGACGATACCACAACAAATGTGATATAGGAGAGGACTGGATTGCTTTTGAAAGTCACGTCTGAGTGGTAGGCATCGTTTGAGAAAATTCAGCCATTAGCACTTCCCCAAACAAGGTTGAGAATGAGGCAAATCAAAAAGTTGCATCGTGCTAAAAATGAGTTGCGAAAAAGTTGGCTCAGAAAGTTTGAAACGTTTCAAGAATTCCTCGTCAAAATGTACTTACGATAATCACGGTACTTACAGCTGATGGACAGGAAGGTTAAGTATTGCAAAACACATCCCAATGCGATTCATTCGGCTGACAAAAGGTATTTATAAAATTACTTAATTAAATGCCCCAAAAACGCTAAAGATAAGAAAAAATTTCTGATCGTGAAATGAGACAAGTCTAAGTAAAAGAGATGATATATGCTCATCCAATATAGAAAAAAAAGTAGGGAATGTATGATCAATTTTTAATAAGCAAGAAATCTCAACCCCAATATCTTAACCAAAAAATATGAAAATATACATACAATACTGACTTAACAACTAGTTTAAGCCAACCTCATTGACTCACCTCTAATCGATCAACTTCATTCTGTTCAAGAGAACCTTGAGCGACCGGGAGAGGCCTAGATGGACTAACTAGCCTCTGACCAATAGCCTCCGCTACAGACCTATTTCCTGTTCTCGAAGGTGCCTCAAGGTCACCAGCATTGGCCACAGCCCCAGCCATTGATGAGCGTGAGCAAGGAGAGCTGGCATTCTGAGACCGAAGTTGTTGTTGCTGATGTTTTTGCTGGTAGTGACCTGAGGGCTTTGTACCTAAGCCTGAAAGTGACTCGGTGGCAGAGAGTGGCGACTGGCTGAAGTGACGACCCGGTATAGCGGAGGTACTCTGAGATCCAGTGACAGAACCTGGACCAGGACCGTTGCCAGTGGGCCTGCGGCGAGGCACACTCGAACAGACAGGCGTAGTAGCGGAAAGCTCGGTCGTCATCAGGGTAGGAGTGGATGGATGAAGAAGTGGGACAAGTTGGGAGGACGGCCAGACCATAGTTGGCGCTGTCTGTAGAGTGGCGTTCATTAGCTCAGGCTGGTTGACATAGTAGAAAGTAGGCTGGCAAAAAGGATTAAACGTGTAAAATATCGGGTAAGTAAATAAATTGATTTTTGAGGAATTTATTGGTATTTGAATATTGATTTGACTTTAGTTTCGAGTAAATTTTGTGATGAAGAGATTCGCGTGCTGATCTCACTAGATGACGACACGATTCTCCTGTCCGTTGTTGTTGGTTTTATTGGAACGTCAAAGTTCGCGCAATCGCCAAGACACCCTCCGTTGTCTATGACGAAGGCACTCTAGTCTCTGATTTATAAAACGAAAAACTTTATCGGTCCAAAGGGATATTCTCAGATCACTCTAGCGCACACAAGTTAATAAAACTAGCCGGATAGTTC